CCTAACCCTAACCCTAACCCTAACCCTAACCCTAACCCTAACCCTAACCCTAACCCTAACCCTAACCCTAACCCTAACCCTAACCCTAACCCTAAAACCTAGAAACAGCCCGGTACATCAGAGACAACTATCAGATTAGTTTCTCTCTTCAATGGGTTCCCAGCCACAGTGGGATTAAAGGGAACGAAGAAGTAGATAAACTAGCCAAAGCTGCGACTACACGCCTTAGAGAACATAGCTTTAAGCCACTGATATTACTTTAGTTCTAAGCAGTCAAGGACGCAATATATGTAACCTAGGCAGCCGAATAGGAGAAATCGGATAAAGGACAACACCTTCGAAGTATTAATGCAGCACCGCCAGGCCCTTATACCCGGCACCTATACGATAAGCTCCTACGGAGCCAGGCTGGCCTCCTTGCCCAGCTGCGAACCGGCCACTGCTGGCTTAACCAACACCGTACACGAATGGGTCGGATCAACAACGATTAATGCGAATACGGAGAAGTCGAATTAGTTTCCTACGTTCTCCTCAACTGCTCTCTGCTTCAGGAAAGCCGATAGAAGATGCTCTAAGATAGTGGACTAGAAAAGAACAGCCTATCAGCCTTACTCGGCGGAAAGCCACTAAGCAATGCCGCAGCTACCCAGAGTAAAGACAACAATTGGAGAATAACAGCATCACAGCTTCAGGCTGTGCTCAACTTTGCACAAGACTTACAACGGTTTAAGAATAGAGATAATCCTATAGTATAGAACCTCTATACTACTATCCCCTCCTACCCTACTATCCGCTCCCGTTACCTTCCTTTTTCCTCCTAGATTGACAAATCACATGTAAACTAGTAGCAAAACTCTTAAATAGTCGTAGCCTGCATATCGCTTAGGGCGATGGGTCAGGGTAAATAAATATAACTCAACTCAACTCAACTCAATCAATCAATCAAGAACCACTAGTATCCTTCTTTAAAATATTTATCTAACACAGAGCCTAGCAACTCTACGTCCCAACCGATATAAAAGGAAAAAGAAAACGGACCGCAATCTATATAAATAAACGGATCTCACCCGCAGCATAATAGCAAGTCTACTACGATAGCCTAGACATTATAGTAATTAAGGTACTTACGCTAGCTAGGGAAGTCCTTATATTTTTAGTATATATACCTCTAATCGGCGGAACGCGCCACGCAGCAGAACAAGAAATACAAGCTACGCTAAGAGTAATCCAGCAAACAGTTAAAATAATACCCCAACGAGGCATCATTATAGGCGGGGACTTTAACAGGCAAGATCTACTCTAGGGCGGAGACTAAATAAAACCGTATTTAGTAGGAGACGCCGCGTCTCTAGTACTCTTTATACAGGACTATAAGCTCGAAAGCCACCTCCGCCGCGGTACGCTAATATACTAGGTAGTAAACAAGTAAGGTAGCAAAACAACAATAGACCTAACCTTAAGTAACCTCTAGCAGCACCTTCTCAAATACGAACTTTTCCCTTAAAGCTACGGATCAGACTACCGCCCTATCTACTCGGAATAGAACCTAAAAATAGAGTCTAAAGTAGAGAGAACTCTAAAAAGGATATATAAACAAACGGACTAGTTAAAAGTAGGGAAAACTATCTAGGACGCCCTAGTAATACTAGAACACATCTATACCCGCGAGGAGCTCGACGTAGCTATAGAC